ACTCAAATTATTATTTTTTTAAGCTCTCAATCCTGCTTGAAACACCCGTCCCGACTTGGGTTTCTGTCACCGCCAAGGGAGAAGACCTCGAAAAGTTTGTCCAAATTATTTTCTAAAAAGTAATGAGAAATTTAGATACATCGACATTCGGGCTCCAGTCCCTTCAGTAGCCGGTCTCGTGCCGGAATGCCCGGAATTGAAGCCAAGCCAGCATTCCCCGCTTCTCACCCTCGATCATCTGCCCATTCAGCCATTGGCCGATCAGTTCCTTTTCTACAAGCCCGAAAAGGGTCTCACGGAGGTAAGGAAAATAGCAGGAAAATCATTCCGAAAAGTGCGGGTTAAAGTTTTTTTAAATCTGAAAAGTTTAAATAGTTAAGTTTAAGTTATTGTTATTATTTTTAAATAGCTGTTACCTAGCTGGCTATAAACTTGGAGCACTGTTATGTAGTGCATACTGCATCTCGTTTGAAAATTTGACATATTGACTGAAATCCGCCCAAGTTTTCATCTAAAAACTTCAAGCCTCAAAAGCCAAGCAAATGTAAGCTTACTTTGATAAAAAAGCAAAAATTCGTGCTCGGATAATGTATTAGGTTGTACAAAAAGTCCTGGCGGTTTTGGGTTTGGATCGCTTTTTTCAAGAACGGTTTCGATATGAGGGTTAATTGTAATATGTCGTTTGAAAGTACTCATCGTGCTCTACAGCATGGTTACAGTAACTTTGCCAGATTACATTTTTTGCGTTTTTTAGAAGGTCCGAAAGTTGGGACCAAAATTGCCCTATTTTCTTGTTTCCTTCAAAACTTTGTTTACAGGCGGCGTAGAACCGTGATCAAGATAGCATTCGACTGAGCTCACGAAGCACTACAAAACGTATCGTAAAAGTTCCGGTTCAAAAATTATTCCGTTGAGATACAACAGCGTAAAATTTGATCGGTGTCAAAATGACGGCTCTTTCCGAATTTCCGGAAAATAATTTTTTACGGTTATAGGCATTGGAAATTGACTGTCAACAACTACAAAGTGTGCACGAAGGACTTATAAAAAATCTCGAGCGGTTTTTATGGCTGATTAGGTTGAAATGTGATCTGGGGAGCCAAAAAGCTCAAAAACTGACCAAATTTTACTCGGTCGTATCTAAACGGAATAATTTTTGAACCGGAACTTTTACGATACGTTTTGTAGTGCTTCGTGAGCTCAGTCGAATGCTATCTTGATCACGGTTCTACGCCGCCTGTAAACAAAGTTTTGAAGGAAACAAGAAAATAGGGCAATTTTGGTCCCAACTTTCGGACCTTCTAAAAAACGCAAAAAATGTAATCTGGCAAAGTTACTGTAACCATGCTGTAGAGCACGATGAGTACTTTCAAACGACATATTACAATTAACCCTCATATCGAAACCGTTCTTGAAAAAGCGATCCAAACCCAAAACCGCCAGGACTTTTTGTACAACCTAATAGGTATACCACATGAGGATTCAGTGAGAGAGTTCGTTCATCATCGCACGCCGCCGCCGGGGGTCGAACCCGGGTGGTGTGGGCGGGGCCGCCCGCACACAGGCACTTAGCCACACCTGCATCCCGGATTCCCTCTTTTCAGTCGCTCAAGTCGCTGGGGAACGATCGGGAAAGTATCGAGCACGTTGCCGCCCGTCTCCATCATGCCCTCAAATTCTCACAGGCAAATCCGGGGATGAATGGTGGGGTATTTTTGGAGTAATATTTTAATCTAATAGCCGATTCTTACTAATATAATGATCATAATTTTTATAATGATCCTGATAAATATATCGGAGAGCTTTTTGGAACACAACTTTTTAGGAAAAGAAAGTGACGTCCACTGGTTGTTAACGGTAGTATCCTCGTTATACTGGAGGGTGGTTGGCGATGCACCGAAAGCTATTGGTTGTCTACGGTATTCACTCAATCATTGCCCGCCACATATGCGGGATGTCGCGCTGGTGAGGAATTTTTCAAAATTTTCTTTTTTGAAAGTGTTTTTCGTCTCGGAAACCTCTCGAGACATAGCCTATCGGATACATAATTTAATTCTGAACAAATCGCAGCCCTTTATTTTTACAAAATGGTTATTTATGTTTTATAAACTTAAAAAATTATCCGTGGCAATCACTTCCGGGCACACGGTTTTTTAATTTTATAAAATCGTGATAGCTGGCTTGCAAAACTTAACAATAGCATATTGTTCAGAATTAAATTCTCTATCGAATGAGATCTATGATATAAAAGGTATATTATTTCTATGGTCAGGTTGCCCTATCCAACGTCTGCCACCAAGCCGGCTTGCTGCATTCGGCGCTCGTCACCGCTGGTATGGCCCTCGAGCAATCCCCTCATCTTGCCGCCATTCACGTTACTGTGGCCAACATCTATGCAAGCATTGTAAGTTGATAAAAAATAAATATATAGGCAAATTAATAAAGTAAATAAACTCAATTCCAGGGCGACTACGAGCGTGCTCTCCAGTTCTACTACTCCACTCTCAGCTTGCAAAACAACTTTGAGCCGGCAAAAGATCGTATTCGGGCGATTTACTGTCATTCTGGGCAGACATTTAATTTCCATAATTAAGGATATATTGTTATTTTATATTATTAACACTTGGCAAAGGCTGCTTAGCAACTTTATCATTGCTTGAAAGGGCTTAATTATTATATTTCGACCATTTCTAAGATCCCATTCAAATTTACCGTAGTATTTTTGCCGTATTTTCAATTACATGAAGTTATAACACTAAAAAAGTTAACCGGCCTTTATTATTATTATTATTTTTCGCTCAACTTATCTGTGATCCCACTATCAAAATGCATTTCCCAAAATCCTTGCCTTCCCACCATTTTTTTTATCAAACGGGTCTCACTCCACTTGATGCTAATTACGCTTTCTGGTGATAAATTGGTTCTTGAAAGAGCTACGATGTTGCGTGTATTGATTATGTTAATCACATCCACGCGAGCGAAATATTGGATATAATTAGACCGGGGCTTTATATGCTCCACTGCATCTGCTAATAGCATAAATTGCAGGAGGCGTCGGCTATGTTTTTATGGCTACCCATCATTACTTCTAAAATCATTACTTCTAAAAGTCGTTACTTCTAAAATTCTAAGCCTCGTTTTGGGCATAAATATGGCCAAAGGTGCCGAAAAACTGGTAATCCGACGTACCAAATTTTAGAAGTAACGTTTTTAGAAGTAATGATTTTTAGAAATAATGACTTTTAGAAGTAATGACTTTTAGAAGTAATGACTTTTAGAAGTAATGATTTTAGAAGTAATGATTTTAGAAGTAATGATTTTAGAAGTAATGACTTTTAGAAGTAATGATTTTAGAAGTAATGATCTTAGAAGTAATGACTTTTAGAAGTAATGATTTTAGAAGTAATGATTTTAGAAGTAATGACTTTTAGAAGTAATGATTTTAGAAGTAATGATTTTAGAAGTAATGACTTTTAGAAGTAATGACTTTTAGAAGTAATGATTTTAGAAGTAATGATTTTAGAAGTAATGACTTTTAGAAGGCAATGATTTTTGAAGTAATGATCTTAGTAGCAATGATTTTTAGAAGCAATGATTTTAGAAGTAATGACTTTTAGAAGTAATGATCTTTGTAGTGATTAAGTAATGACTTTTAGAAGTAATGATTTTAGAAGCAATGACTCTTTGAAGTAATGATTTTAGAAGTAATTATTTTAGAAGTATGATTTTAGAAGTAATGATCTTAGAAGTAATGACTTTAGAAGTAATGATTTTTGAAGTAATGATTTTTAGAAGCAATGACTTTTAGAAGTAATGATTTTAGAAGTAATGACTTTAGAAGTAAATTTTCGTAGATTTTAGAAGTAATGATTTTAGGAAGTAATGATTTTTTAGAAGTAATGATTTGTAGAAATAATGACTTTAGAAGTAATGACTTTTAGAAGTAATGATTTTAGAAGCAATGATTTTAGGAAGAATGA